TCATGTGCAAACATGCACTTGTGTCCCCATGATGATTATTCAGACACTGAGACAGACAGACAGACAGACAGACTGGCATGTGATCCACAGCAGATTGATCCAGGGTTGGGGTTCGGAGCTTTTCTAAGCAGAGCTCCCCTTTGAAGGCCTCTGCAGCGAAGGGTGATGGGGGTGCACCACATGCAGTGGGCTTGGGAGGGGGTCTGAATGGACAGTGGGCTGCCGTGCCCTGACTGTACAGAGGCCCGGTGGCACATATGCACACAAGTACACACATATGCACGTGTACATGTACACACACATGTGTAACACTTTTATATTTACCCACATAGGCACACACGCACGTGTGTACATACATACATATACACTCCCACATACACACATTGATACACACACATGCTCAGACACTGGCTTCTCAGACTCCCCCTATTTGGAGCCTCAATATTCCTGCATTCACTAGGGGCCCAGCTACCCACGGGAGTGGTATTAGTGACATGGTGGCCCCTGGCCAGGAGTGGCTCCCGCTGCATCTTAACTGTCGCCGCCACCAGGCTAAATATAGCCTGACAGTGCACAGCCCAGCGCCGGAGACAGCCTCTCTTCCTGGGGGCGGACTGCCAATGGGAGTCCCAGCCTCTTGCCCTCAGCGTGACTTTGGGTATCCTGGGTGCAGCCCTTTTGCAGGAGTGAGGCAAGGAGGGAGTCAGGATGAGGGTGGCTGTCTGCCCAAGGTCACCTGTGCCCCACGTTGGCACAGCCCTGTACTCTTACATCTGTCACTGCACCTGGCACCTAGGGCAGGGAGCCTGAGGGTCAGTGTGGGTGGCCTGCCTCCAGTCAGTAGCATGGCCTCCTAGTGGTTGGAGTAGAGCAACTCTGTGCTCCTAGGTTCCCTGTCTGTCCTGTTTAGTCTCTTCTTCATCTTCCTCTGTGCATGCATTTTAAATACTTGGTTGAGTGTGGGTGGAGGCCAGGCCTGTCTTATTCATCATTTAATTCTAATACTCCACAGGCAGCAGGCTCACATCATGGGCTGAGTGAACATTTGTGTGTGTATGTGTGTGGTAGGGAATTATACCTAGATGGTTGGTTAAAAAGATAAGAAGACGCTTACCTGAGAAACTTTCCTAGGACATTCAGTTGTCACCTGCAGGCCTCTTCCTTTCCTGTGAGCAATAAGACCTGCCTTTAGTACACCAAAGTGGGGTTCCTGCCTGGGACCTAGCCAAGACCAGGTTATACAGAGATAGAGACCTGGGATTAGGTCTGTGGGTGGCTATTGGGCCCTGCATCAGATGCTGGGTATGGATTGGCACCACATGAAAATAAGCCAAGCATTGCGTTCTGATGAATACTGGCAGCTCTGTTCCTGTTGTACCTGGAGTGTGGGGAGGCCAACTCTCCATGGGGCCTTCCCCTTTCAGTGAGCTCATGACCTCTGTGGGACTTCCAGGTGAGTGCCTTGCCTGCCCCTCTGGGATCTGTTGGGATCTGAGGCAAGGCAGGTTGTAGATGGCTGCTGGCATTCACATCTTCCTTTCCTTGTCTCCATCCCCAGGGGGACTGACTGGGGGTGGGACTGTTCTGCTGTTCAACATCAGGTGTGTGTACCAGGCCAATGTGAGGGCCACACCTTTGCTCCCTCAGACCATCCTGTTAAGGTGCTGTGGTTCACTTCATGGGCTGCTGCTTGTTCCTGCAGCCTCACCTTGTGGAGGTGTGCCCTAGGGCTGACTCTGAGACCTGATTCTAAAGGCTATTTGTCCTCCGTCCATGATTCACTGTGGGGGTGGTTCAGGGCCCTCTTGCTCCCTCTAGTCCTTGTCCCTGAGCAGCACTGCCCTGGCTGTGTCTGGAGTGTGGGCTGTGCCTGCCACGGAGTGGCTCTCAGTGGAACTGCAGCCTTAGCCTGGCTCTGGGCAGTGTTGAAACCTTCTTGACATTGGCCTTTGCTCTCCTGGGAGTTGGGGTGGAGGGCCAGGCAAGGTCAAGGGGGATGAGAAGCAGAAGTGAGGGATGGGGGTTGGGGCCAGTGGGAATGGGCAGAGCTTGGTGGTCCTGTGGAGATGGTGGGTAGAGCTACCCAGCCCTGCTTCTCTCACCAGCTTTTCCCGCTGGGGGGAGCACACAGATCATGACTCCACCACGGCACTCTGGGCTTGGCTTTGTCCTGAAGTCCAGCTCAGGGATGTGCCTGGCCTCCATGTCTGGCCTGCCTACCTTTCAGCTGCCTCTCAGGGACTCTTGCCCAGAATCTGTCTCTTTGGGTTGTTGTTAAGTACCATGGAGTCGGTTCCAACTCACAATGACCCTGCACAGGGTTTCCGAGGCTGTGAATCTTTATGGGAGCAGAAAGCCTCATCTTTCTCCTGCGGAATAGCTCATAGTTTCGAACGGCCGACCTTGGGGTTAGCAACCCGATTCGTAACCACTACACTACTCTTTGGGTAGGGGTAGGAAAACCAGTAATGAGGAAGAGCTGGGGAGGTAACAGCTCCTAGGCAGGACCAAGCCAGGCTGGCAGAAGCCGTGAGCAGTGCCTCAGAGAGCCCTGGCAGGTGTGACTCACTTGTCTTCCTTCCCCCCTGTCCCCATCCTGTCTCTGCCTCCCTCAGCTGCCATGTTATGCTTGAGGTCACAATTTTGGAACAACCAGGGTTTTGACAGGATTGTTTGAAAGGAACAATTCCTTGAATGTTGACAAAGGGAGAGGCTGAGGTGGCTTTGTATGTGAGTGTGCCTAAGGCACAGGCCTGTGCTGAGAGCTTTTATCTGCCACCTGACTGGGAGGTAAGGGAGTTGTTGGGTTGAGGGTAGTGGTGGCAGTTTGGGATTTTGGGTCCTAGGGTCGGTGAACTTCAGAATGCTGTTCTTGATGAGAAGTTGGAATTGAAATGGAGGTGGGGCGGGGAGGCCTTAGGTTCAGTATTTTTGTGGCTTTGTGTTGGGGGCAGTCTCTAGGCCATCCTGAAGTTCTAGACTCTGGATTTTTCTGAGATGTGTTTCCTGGTGAGGAATGAGGATTTACAAGGACTGGTGATCTGAATTGCTGGGATTCTGGGGGTACGTGCTGTGGTCTTTAAAGCTGCTACCTCCTGGTCTCTGGCCTCTGCTGAGGTCTGAGGAGGGCCAGTCTCCGTTCAGGCCGTGGCTGGCCATCACCATATTAGGGCATAAACTCTAGGCGGGCTGTCTGGGTGCCAAACGGTCTCCCGCTGGGCTGGCCCTGCGGCCTCTCAACACCACAGCTATGCTTCAGCCAAGGCTGTGTCTGAGGCTGGAGGTCAGTGGACAGGAGAGGTGGAGCTGTGGCGCTGGTGTGATGAGTGAAAGGGGGCAGGGTGGCAAAGCATTCCTGGAAGACCCTCATCTGCTCTAGCCTCTCACCCAGTGCCATCCTATCTAAGTTGGTTTCGTGGAAGCTCACTGCAAGGTGACTCTGCAGCTGTTAGGAATCTGACCTTCCTGATCTTGATCTCAGCCCCATCCCTGGCAGATCCTCCCCTAGCCTGGTCAGCATGCCCCAAGAGTCAGTTCCCTCATGGTCCTTCAGGCTGCTGCTGAAGCAGCTCCTAACCCTTTGGCCTTATTGGCAGAGTCATCAAGCAGTGCCACCAAATGCTGGGGGTGTCAGCCCTTGCCCTTGACTCAAAGCCCCACTGCCATCACCCCTATTGCTGCCTGGAATTAGGGATGGATCTGAGGGGAATAGAGGGATGGGAGCAGCCCAAGGCAGTTATGGAAGCTGAGAGAACACGGTGTTTGTCCTACCTTCTGCCCCTCCTCATTGCCTCTTGTGAATATCTCTGGTTCCAGGTCCTATGCTTAAGGACAAGACCCCTGAAGAGTTAGGCTCCTAAAGTTCAAGGAAAATGGGTGAACACAGGTTGAGCTGAGATATGGAAAAGACAGTAGGAGAGTGTGGAATATGCTCGGGGCCTTACAGGGTCCAGAAAGAGGGAAGTACTGGGTTTTAATGGGCTTCTTGGTTCACTAAGGGAACTTCACAAGGGCAGTGGGTTCTGAGTTTGGCCTTTTGTGGACTGAGAGCTTGACAGGAATCTACTTTAGAAGTCAGCAGTGGCGAGGGTGTTGGGGCCACTACACTGAATGGAGAGCAGAGAGAGACAGGGAAAATTGGGCCTGGCTTATCTAAGAGTGAGCTTCTGAAAGGACTGACTTCTCCTGGTGTAGGTCTTTGGTGACCAGAGAGAGCCTGGGAGGGAAAAAGTCAAGGAAAGAGAAACAGCTGAAAGATTTAGAGAGAGTGCTTCTCCAATTCTTTAGTGAAGGATCAGTTTTCTTTATTTATAACATTGTTACAGATCATTACTTCTGGGAAATAACACATTCACATGCTTGGACCTTGTGGCAATGCCAAGTTGTTGTAAATGTTTTGAAACTCTTGCTCTCACTTTCTGTACTTACCTAGTTATGGGCTGACACAACCTGTGGATACTGAACCAGTGAGAACAAAGACTTAGCTCCTGGTGTGGCACTGCAGGACCAGCATGGGACTGCTAACCACAAGGTTGGCGATTCAAACTCACCAGCTGTTTCTTGGAAACCCTACACAGGGTTGCTCTGAGTTGGCGCCGACTCAATGCCACTTTAACGACAACACAAAGAGCCACCTTAACTGTTATAGTATGTGCAGGCATTTCTCTAACTACTTAGTATGCATCGATTTATGGAATCTTTTACAATTCCTGAGAAAAGATTTATGATTATTCCCATTTTATAGACGAGGAAAATAAGACACATAGAAAACTGCACAGATCCTTAAGTAGCAGAGCTGAGATTTGAACACTGCAATTCTGGGGCTAAAGTTTGTGGGCTTAACCACCATGCCACTCGGCCTTACACGAGGGGAAAAGCAGAGATGGACTGGGAGTATAGGAAAAAGGAATGAATAGAAAAAAAGGTCTCCCCGACCTGGTTCTGCCCAGCCCCACTGAGGGTATGCAGGCTTCACAGTGGCTATGCCTGCCCACCTGCAGGGAGCTGCTTCCTATGTCTGGTGGATGTGGTGCCCGTGAAGAATGAGGATGGGGCCGTCATCATGTTCATCCTCAACTTCGAGGTGGTGATGGAGAAGGACATGGTGGGCTCCCCAGCTCGGGACACTAATCACCGCGGGGCCCCCACTAGCTGGCTCGCCCCAGGTAAGTACAACCTCATGTCTCCCTTTGCTGAGGTCATGAGGCTGCCAAGGCCCTTCAGAGACACTGAGGAGATAGAGACACTGAGGAGATAGACTGGGCCTGCTTGGCCCAGGATGGACAGACGGGTGGAGTGACAGGGTCCAGAGTCATAGATTCTTGGGGCAGGATAGCCCCTGCTTCCTATCCATACCTGTTTGGGTTTCCCCACATCACCCCCTGAGACCAGCCTCCTCTCTCAGCCTGTCCCTGAGCAGCTCCTTGTGGGGGCACACCCTCCCCAGATGTCCCAGACCACCTCCGAGTGTGCCCTCTGGTCTCTGGGAAACTGTCTTGCATGGACTTCAGTCCCTCTCTGTGGCTTCCATCCACTGGGACTGGACGGGACTGGTCGCATTCCCTACTGTGACCTTGGCTTGTCTAGGAGAGGTGTCCTGGAAGACTTTGAGGATTTGCTGACCTTGATGGTCTCCTCTTATCCCCTTAGTGACTCCTAGGCTCAGAGCTCTGGTCCCCTTCCTCCCAGGATGTCTTCCTAAAGTTGAATTTGCCCCTCAGATTCATGGCAAATATTGTACCTCTTGGTTCTAAAGTGTTAACATTAATATTTCTGACCCCACTTGTTCTGTAGATGCCTCAAAAGGCTATAGGGCCTGGGGGAAAGGTGACAATGACACTCCAGTTCGGGTCTAGGCTCCATTACTGCATCACATGGCTGGCTCATTGATGCTGCCGCTTCTCTTCTACCTAATGGTGATAATGATGCCTACCCAGTGGTGTTAATCAGGGGTAACGGCCACCATGCCAGCTCAAAAAATGCTAGTCTATGGTATCTCAAGTCTTAGATTTAGATTATATTCTAGAAATGTTTTTTAAACTGTAAGTAAGGCCTGTGCAGGGGAATTCAGGGGTGCTGACTGCCACTGCCTTGGCCCTGGCTGCTGGGGCTTCAGCCCCCAGACCTCTCCAGCACCATTCTTCCATAGGTCGTGCCAAGACCTTCCGCCTGAAACTGCCGGCGTTGCTGGCTCTGACTGCTCGGGACTCGTCCTCACGACCTGGCGGTACAGGTGGTACGGGGGCCACAGGAGCTGTGGTGGTGGATGTGGACCTGACGCCCGCTGCGCCCAACGAGTCGCTGGCCCTGGATGAGGTGACAGCACTGGATAACCATGTGGCTGGGCCTTTGCCGGCTGAGGAGCAGCTTGCCCTTGTGGGTCCCAGTTCCACACCCGGCCCACACTCACCGCTGGCGCACAGTCTCAACCCCGATGCCTCCGGCTCCACTTGCAGCCTGGCCCGGACCCGTTCTAGAGAGAGCTTTGCCAGTGTGCGTCGTGCCTCCTCAGCCGATGACATTGAGGCCATGCGCTCTGGGGTGCTGCCGCCACCACCACCACACCACGCCAGCACAGGTGAGGCCCCAGCAGAGGACTGACCCTGGTGCCCAGTGGAGTCAATGCCCAACACCATGTCTGCTTATCCTTCCGGCTTGTGCCTGGGAGGTGGAAATCCTGTTAACCACTTATTTAATCCCATAAGAGGCCTTTTATCCCATTAAATATTCATTTATCTTATTACATTTTTATAGTCACAGAGCCTGCAGAGGCTCCTGGATCTGGCTTCCCAAGACAGCTTGGAGCTAGGATGACCATAGAGAGTCTGAGAGGCAGGAGAGGCACCCTGGACCTGTGTCCCTCTGGCCAGGTCTACTGCCCGCTGACCAGTCCTTTCTTGGGAGTGTCTTCCTTGTCTGCCATTACTCAGTTTTGTTATGATTTGTTCCTTGGAGCTGCTGGACCAGGCTGTTTCTTGGTGACCCCTTGTTTCCTGAACTGCTCTTATTGACTTTCCTGTTTCTCTGGTGTCCCTGACATGTCCCGGGCCCAGTGTTCACCATAGCTCTTCCTGATGATGACCTGGCTGCCCTCTGACTCCTCCCTACTAGCCTGACCTTGCTCTCCCTCTCCATCTCAGGGGCCATGCACCCCCTGCGCAGTGGATTGCTTAACTCCACGTCAGATTCGGACCTTGTGCGCTACCGCACTATTAGCAAGATCCCCCAAATCACCCTCAACTTTGTGGACCTCAAGGGCGACCCCTTCCTGGCTTCACCTACCAGTGACCGGGAGATCATAGCACCCAAAATAAAGGAGCGAACCCACAACGTCACTGAGAAGGTCACCCAGGTAGGAGCCCATCAGTTCTTACTTCACCTTGAAGGACCTTGGAGGGAGGGGATGAGGTGGGCAGGCATTTGGCTAGGAAGGGGGATGCCTGAAGTCAAGAAGAGGGGATGGAGGGACTGGCCAGTGAGGGACATGTGAGGGTGTACAAATTTAGAGGGGCTATTTTAGAGCTGAATGGTCCAGAGAGCAGTCTGAGAGGTCCTGGAGAAAGGCAGACTGGAGGGGCGAGCGTAGGGGAAAGGGCAGACCCAGAGGACAAATTGATGGCTGTGTGGCTTAGAGGATGCAAGGTGAGAGGACAGGCTTTGAGGCTGGGCAGAGAAGGCCAGACTTAGAAGGGATGTGGTGGGTGCAGAAGGCAGCTATGGGAATGTACAGTGTTTTGCCAGGGTGCATGTGAAGTGGGTATTGGGGGCAAACCAATAGGAGACTTCAGATTAGAAGTGATCATTGAAGGGGGGAGGTGGTGGTGAGGGAAGTCAGGAGGATGCTAATTCTGCTAGGCCAAGGGAAAGAGCCAGGCACAGCATGGAGGCCATCCTACCAAGTGTGGTCTGGGATGCCCACTCCACCCCCACCCTGGGGCATCTTCCTACATGTTTGGAGGAGGGGAAAGTCTGGTGTGGGTGAAAAGATATGAAGAGGATCAAGTCCCTGTGTCATAACCTGAGAAGGCTGGCAACGTTTTGGGGCATTGTCTACCACTTCCCGGGGGACGAGGCCCCCTCTTGAGCATTGAGCCCTGCCAGTGTGGTCATCTGCAGTGCTTCCACTCCCCAGTCCATCCCAGCTTCATCCCCTCTCTTGCCCAGTGCCAGTGAGTGAGAAACCTGTCATACTACTGCTACTGTCCTGGGGGGAGCTACCGGGACAGGGCTGACCTCCCTGTCTGCTCCTGCCTTTGCTCCTGTTGTCTCTTGTGCTCTGGGCCCCTGCCACGCTTCAGCTCCCTGGTCTTAACTCCAGAATTGGCCCCCTCACCCCAGGTCCCATGTCTAGCTGTCTGACCTCCACCCCCTGCTTTGCCACCTAGAGCCTCTGGCATCTGCCATGCATGTTCGCACGGGTCTCTGCTTCTGGCTGTGCAGGTCATAGTGGCTGTCTCTCCATCTCTGGGTGTCTCTGTCTGATTCTGGCTCCACTCTCACTCGGACAGGCAAGGCGGGGTGTCGGAGAGACCATTAATCTGTGGTGACAGGCCAGCTGCCAGGCAGAGGGGGAGGGGCCGGGCTGCAGGATCAGCTGCAGCAGAGCCCTGGAGCAGGCTGTGGGGGAGGGGGCCACGGGCCTGGCACCAGGCTCAGGGGCGGGCATGGCGGGCCGGTGGGGGTGGGGATTGTGGAAGAGGAGGGGCGGGCTGCTGGAGTGGAGGTTCTGACTGCGGCCGCGCTGCTGGACTGCCGGTGCGGGCAGAGCGCAGTACCCTGGCAGCAAGGCCCACACCTGGGGGCCATGAGCAGAGTGAGCCTGGTGGGCTGCTACCCACGCATACGGACAGGGTGACCCCAGCTTTTGGGGCTCAGTCCTGGCCACCCTGGCTTCATGCCAGAGACTGCCCTGGGAGCCAGTCTACTGGCCTCTGGGGCACAGCCTGGGCTGGGTGTGCTGTGGGGGCGAAGGTGGGGGGCTGGCCAGGCCCTGGGGCCCAAGACGGCAGGCCGGGAGAGCCCAGCCCTCCATGGCGGCCACATCAGGGAAGGCCAGTGGGACAGGGACTCTGCAGGCCAGGGCCCAGAAAGGCCGAGTGAGGCGGGCTGTGCGCATCTCCAGCCTCGTGGCCCAGGAGGTAGGTGACCCACAGCTCTCTCCCTCCTGGGGCTGGGGCACTGAGGCAGGAAACCAGTGAGCTGGGCAGGGGCCAGGGGGCTCTAGCCATTGGTGGAACCAGGTCAGCAGAGGGTTTCTGAGAAGTAGGCAGTGCAAGGGGCATGGTATCTGCAGCCCTGCTCACCACTCTTGTCTTCTGCTAGAGTTTCTTTAGGCCTGGCACTTGGGTGGCAGTGCTTTCTTCCAGGGGCTTACCCATGCTATGGCTTCTGTGGCCCACAGCTTTCTAGCTCAGAATGCAAAGGGAGGGGAGACGGGGGATGCAGTGGGCACACAGGGGCTCGTGGGAAACGGAGGGAAGGCTGGTAGGACAGTGAGAGGGTTTGGGCAGCAGGTGTGGGAGGCACTTGGACTGCACTACTGCTCACGCCATGGTGCTACATGGGTCTTGGGTATAGGAGGCATGGGGAGGCTTCAGGTTTGGAGCTGGAGTCCAGGAGGGTAGGGTCTGAGGACTCTGGGTAGATGAGAGAGCATGCTAAGCTGAGGGGCCTGGATTACCTCTGTGGTGAGCCTGGAGTGCTGCTAGCTGGGCCATGGTCCAGCTAACTTTGTAGGCATCACAATGTCACCGGGGCCCTCTGGTGTAGGAATGAAGTGGCTCTGGGAAGTGGAGGGAGAGAGAAGGGCTAGAGGAGGGAATCTCCCCTCCCACCACCCCTCCTCACTGAGTGGGACCTTGGTGCATATGTGGCCGGGGGGGAGGGGGGGGCCGGGGGGGGCGGGAGAAGGTGGTCCCAGGTAAGTCCCGGGTCCTTTCCTAGGAGAATGCGTACAGGTAGTAGACTTCTTCCCCTCAAGAGAGGACCTGGAATTTAGCTTAAATGAGCTCCTAGAGTAAATCAGAATCTACCTGATGGCAATGGGTTAGTGGCTAATGGGTTATTCTATAGGGAAATGTGTGGAGAGGGGTTAAGTAGCTGCCCCAAGGCCATATGGACAGTGAGTGTCTCAGAGTTGTGAAAATGAAGTCAGTGGTTCTAGACATTGCACCCCATGCTGGTCCATGTGTATACATGTGTGTAGGTAAACTTGAAAAAGGGTCACTGATGTGTTTGGTCCAGCATATCCCCCAGGAAACCTGGCCTCTTGGTAGGGAGGAGTCCTGCTTTAGGAGTTGGGCTCCTTTGCCTGTTGGGTCCCAGGTGATTCCTTACTTTAATCCTCACCTGACTCCTGAAAGACCACTACCTGTGAAAATGTAGCCCCTGCTTTAAGAGAAGCATCTTAGGCTGAAAGCAGTGTAGAGGTGGGAGCCTATGAGCCCTTACACATGCCTCTGCTGCCCAGTGTCCAGCTGTTGGCACATCTGGAGCTCCAGGTGCCAGTCCCCTAACTGTGATGCATCTTAATGTCCAAGTCTTTCCACTAGGACAGGGCTGGGGAACTTCTTTTCTGTGAAAATTTATAATATCATTTGAGGGCCATACAAAATTATCGACTTAAAAAGTAGCCTGTTATATTTGGTCAGACATTTAAGTAACTCCCCCTAATGTGGTGGCTAGGAGTCCTGGTGTGGCCCTGTGGGCTCATGCACTGGACCGCAAAGTCTTTTGAACTATAAGGTCCAACCAGCCACTCCTGGGAAACCCTATACAGGGTTGCTATGGGTCAGAACTGATTCAATGGCACACAACAACAACAACAATGTGATGGCTGGAATCCTGGTGTGACAATTTGGGATAAAGCGCTGGACTACAAGGTCAGTTTGAACCACTAGGTTGGTGGTTTATACTCACTAGCTGCTCCTTTAAAACCCTATTCAGGGTCGCTATGAGTTGGAATCAACTTGATGGCACTTTAAACAATGTGATGACTGGAACAGTGGTTGCCTCAGCAGGGTCACACCAAATGATTACGTGGGATGGAAGGTCCCCATTCTTGCTTTAGAATATTCTTCAAAAAGCTCCATCTTGTGAAGTTGAGTCCAGAGACCCCTGGCATGAATATGAGTCAGGGAGACCAGGTGGGACCCTGACAAGTGGGACTTTGGGAGTAGTGCTGGGCAAGGCTGAGGTTCAGGATGCAGGGTACAGGCTGGAGAGCTTGATGGAGGGGAGGTCTTGGGTTGAGTCATATGTCTGAGATAGGTGCTGGGGCAGAGTGGGGAGGCGGCCTCAGCTTGTCCTCCCTCCGCAGGCTATTGTGGGGGTCTCTTTGAGTGTGAGTCTTTGTGCAGGCTATGTTTGCCTTGCTCCCTAGAGTTTGTTGGTATGCAGATCCCTCTATACATGTGGACTAGCTTAGATCTTCTAGTGTCCCTTTGTAGATTTGAGGGGAGGGCTAAGGTCTGCCCTGGATCACAGTGGAGATGGACTAAGAGATCAGAAGACTGAGTGTTTTGGCCTTTCCTTCCTTGGGAAGCTAAGGGATCTGAGATGTGGGGGGCGGGGGTGGGGGACGGGGTGGGGGAGGTGCTGGTACCTTTGGGCCAGTGGCATCAAGGGGCCTTTAGACCCGGACTGCCCAGCAGTGACACTGTCACCATTGTATAAACTGAGGTGATGGCCCCTGAAGCCATCGTGTAGACTGGGAGCCTCAGACCTTCCACCGTTTTCTGGACTGAGGCTACGCATGGGGGTGACCTCTTCCACAGGCATGGTTGCTTGGTAGAGCTGTAGCCTGCACGTGTGAGACTGCTTTTGCTGGTGGACAGCTTTGCTTCTGGGTGTTACTGCTTAATGCTCTCAACTCAGGTGTGCTGGAGCTCCCAGTCTAACTAGAGCTAGCTACGGTCTGTGTGTTACATGGCATTCTGGGAACTGTACTCCCAGGTCTAAGGGTAGCCAGTTGCTGTAGACATTTGGCTGAGGGGTAGACATTTAGACTGAGTCTTTTTTGCTACCCCTCTGCTTGAGCTATTCTTTAGAGACCTCAGCAGAGCTATCATCCCTCTTGAGGTCCCCTGGCCTGGCCACTCCTGCCTTACACCCCATGGGACAATATCCCTCCTTGCCCTTTCCCTGCTGGTAGGTGCTGTCCCTGGGCGCGGATGTGCTGCCCGAGTACAAGCTACAGGCGCCACGGATCCACCGCTGGACCATCCTGCACTACAGCCCCTTCAAGGCGGTGTGGGACTGGCTCATCCTGCTGTTGGTCATCTACACAGCTGTCTTCACGCCCTACTCAGCCGCCTTCTTGCTGAAGGAGACCGAGGAAGGTCCCCCGGCCCCTGACTGTGGCTATGCCTGCCAGCCACTGGCTGTGGTGGACCTCATCGTAGATATTATGTTCATTGTGGACATCCTCATCAACTTCCGCACCACCTACGTCAACGCCAATGAGGAGGTGGTCAGCCATCCGGGCCGCATTGCCGTCCACTACTTCAAGGGCTGGTTCCTCATTGACATGGTGGCTGCCATCCCCTTTGACCTGCTCATCTTCGGCTCTGGCTCTGAGGAGGTGGGGCTGGCAAGGAGGCAGAGAGGGACAAGAACAAGTGGGGACAGGAGAGAAGGTGGTGGGAGGTGGTGGGTGGGAGTAGACAGAGATAGAGGGCTAAAGAGTCACGGCGGTGTTCTACTCAACTCTGCTGCTTCCTCTACTCCACCCTCAAAGGCCCACCATTTCTAATGTGCACAAAGGACCCTGTAAGCTAGTGGGGGGTGGCTGTGGCTGTCAGATGGTCCCCTCATTCTCAGCATGGTGTGGTGGTGTAGGGTAAGCACTGGACTGCTAACCACCCACCAGCTGCTCCTCAGAAACCCTACACAGTATCTCTGTGAGTTGGAACCCACTCGATGGCACTTAACAAAAACTACCATAAGCTAGCACAGATCTGTGAGACCTCTGTCCTGGGTGGTTTATGCCGTCGAGGCAGTCTGACTCAAAGTGACCCTGTGAATCTTTATGGGAGCAGAGAACTTCATGTTTTGCCTGCAGAGTGCCTGGCAGATTCCAACTGTTGACCTTAACAGTTAGCAGCCCAACTAGCAACTTACTGTACTACCACGGTCCCTTCACCTTGCTATTGTTGTTGTTGTTAAGTGCCGTCCAGGCAATTCTGACCCATAGCCACCCTGTATAGGGTTTCCGAGGAGCAGCTGGTGAGCTTGAACCGCCGACCTTGCAGTTCAAACGGCTTTGCAGTCTGCTGCCACATTAACCCACAGCGCCACCCCAGGCCTCCTCACCTTGCTATAGGCACTCATAAAAGATAGCTCTAGTTATTAGGAAATGAACCCTGGTAGTGTAGTGGATTATGAGCTGGGCTGCTAATTGCAAGGTCAGCAGTTCAAATCTACCAGCTGCTCCATGGGAGAAAGATGAGGCTTTCTGCTCCCATAAAGATTTATAGTCTTGGAAATCCTATGTAGGTTTGCTATGAGCCTGAACTGACTTGATGGCACACAGCCACCACCACCACCAGGTATTAGGAGGCGATTCTGGGAGGTCTTTGTGATTTCATTTTGGATGTCCCCTCTGAATATGAGGACAGCAGAGCCATGCAGCCCTCAGTAGCCCATTGATGGTTTGCCCTCACACTGATGGCCCCTCTCCCTCCAGCTGATTGGGTTGCTGAAGACGGCACGGCTGCTGCGGCTGGTGCGTGTGGCACGGAAGCTGGACCGCTACTCAGAGTATGGGGCAGCTGTGCTCTTTCTGCTCATGTGCACCTTCGCGCTCATTGCGCACTGGCTGGCCTGCATCTGGTACGCCATCGGCAACATGGAGCAGCCACACATGGACTCGCGCATCGGCTGGCTGCACAACCTGGGTGACCAGATTGGCAAGCCCTACAACAGCAGTGGCCTGGGTGGCCCCTCCATCAAGGATAAGTACGTCACTGCGCTCTACTTCACCTTCAGCAGCCTCACCAGTGTGGGCTTCGGCAATGTCTCTCCCAACACCAATTCAGAGAAGATCTTCTCCATCTGCGTCATGCTCATTGGCTGTGAGTGGGCCTGTGGGGGCAGGCGGGCACAAGCCGATGTCACCTAGAGTGACTCAAGGTGGAGGGCAGTGAGTGCGCTATGGGTCGATCATGGGGTAGCAGGGCAGAAGAGTAAGGCAAGGCTGGAAAGGAAAGCTGAGGACTTGGCTTGTGTGTTTGCATATTCATGCTTCTATGTGTGTGTGTTTCCACCGTGACAGCACACATGCCGGTGTGTGTTGTTGATATGGTACAGGGGTTGTTAGTGGGTCCCACAGACACTGACAGCCTGCCCCGTCCGTCCCCACCAGCGCTTATGTACGCCAGCATCTTCGGCAATGTTTCAGCTATCATCCAGCGACTATACTCAGGTACTGCGCGCTACCACACGCAGATGCTGCGTGTGCGGGAGTTCATCCGATTCCACCAGATTCCCAATCCACTGCGGCAGCGCCTTGAGGAGTACTTCCAGCATGCCTGGTCCTACACCAATGGCATCGACATGAATGCGGTAAGCCATTGACTTGACGAGAGAGAGAGTGGGGAAAATAGGGCGCCCCTTGGCTGAGTGAGCCCACTTCACCAGCCAGGGCATTACCTGGTGGCCTAGATGGTCCCTTAGTGCTAAGGACGACCTGAGAGGCATGATTGCCCACTTTGCCCATGTACTCACTGTGTAACAGATGGGCTCCACTGGTGGGGCAGACACTTCCATGTGGGCTGCCACATTTAACCCTTATGACAGGTAGCACCTTGCCTTGAACTAGAGGCAAGTGTCCTCTGTACAAATAGGAAAAGGTGAGGGGTATCCCAAGGTGGCACAGCACACCTGGCAGTTGGTGTGGAAAGGAAAGTCAAGCCTAGAAGGATGGGGTTTTCCGAGGTGGAGGGTGAAGTGGGGAGTAGGGGCTTCAGGGTTGTGAGTAGATGCTGAGCTGTCGCCCTCATTCCCCAGGTGCTGAAGGGATTCCCTGAGTGCCTGCAAGCTGACATCTGCCTGCACCTGAACCGCTCACTGCTACAGCACTGCAAACCCTTCCATGGGGCCACCAAGGGCTGCCTGCGGGCTCTAGCCATGAAGTTCAAGACGACCCATGCGCCACCCGGGGACACGCTAGTGCATGCAGGGGACCTGCTCACTGCCCTCTACTTTATTTCCCGAGGCTCCATCGAGATACTACGGGGCGATGTTGTTGTGGCCATCCTAGGTATGGTGGAAGTGGGGGCTGGACCCGAGGTAGAGTGGCCAGAGGCCTAAGAGATGCTCATGCTCAGGGGTTCCCCCAAGGCAGGCAGCCAAGAGAAGCTCCATCTGTTGGGGTGGGAGGGGCTGCTGGCCTCTACCCAATTCCCCTTTCCCTTGTTCTCCCCACAGGCAGCCAAATTCACTTGTTTCCTCAGAGCAGGATAAAATCAGACCCTTTGAGGTGGGTGGTGGCAGGAGGAAGGTCCATTTGGGCTTATGCATTGGGTCCATGAAAGGAGCTCTGGTGGCGCTGTGGGTTAGACAGTGGGTTGTTAGCCACAAGGTCAGCGTTTCGAGCCCATCAATTACTCCTAAGGAGACAGATGAGGCTGTCTGTTCCTATAAAGATATACAGTCTTGGAAATCCTATATAGGGATGTGATGAGTCAGAATTGACTTGATGGCAGTTGGTTTGGCTTAGTTTTAGAATTGGGTTCATGAGGGGCCTGTGGGTACCACAGCCTCAGGCTGCAACCTTACCTGTCCTCCAAGGCAAAGGGTATCCTGCCCCTTTCTTCACATTCTTCATTTCTCCCCACTGTACCTGCAGATAGGTGCGTCTGGCATTGGGGACCTCCTGTGCTCTGCTTGACCATTCTTTGCCCTTACTCCTTAGGGAAGATGTGTCTACTTTTTTGCCCACTTGCAGAATTTTGTATCTCAGTCAATACAAACACATACTCCCTCCACAAACACACCCTACACGCCACTAAAATCAACGATTCCTTTATTTACTTGACCCTGTTATACTTGGGCCTTATGCATTCTGGTACTTTCTGTTCTAGGTTTGCTAAGCTATAACACTCTGTTTCTTTTCAGTAAGGTGTTAAGATCTGTAATTTGGAAAATACAACTTTAAGGGGTTGGTGATCCAAACAGGAGGGTGTTTATGATGTAGAGTTTAGGGGTAGAAGTAGGACCCAGGGATGTCAGGACTACAGGTAGAGTGGAGCCATTGGACAAGCCTTGCAGGCAGGCCCCAGTCCCTGGGAGCACAGCGACATTAGGCCCCTGTCCTGTGGGGAGCAGGGAGAGACCAGACTGGCTGAGTGCTGGGTGGGTAGGACTAGGTCCTGAAGGTTGTTCCCGGGGAGGAGAGCTGCCCTCACCTTGAGCCCTATCTCCCAACTCCTGCTGGCAGGGAAGAATGACATCTTCGGAGAGCCCCTGAACTTGTATGCGCGGCCTGGCAAGTCCAATGGGGACGTACGTGCTCTCACCTACTGCGACCTGCACAAGATTCACCGGGATGACCTGCTCGAGGTGCTGGACATGTACCCTGAGTTCTCAGATCATTTCTGGTCCAGCCTGGAAATAACCTTCAACCTTCGAGATGTGAGTGGCCTCCCGCATAGCCTCCCCACTGGGATGCAGCTGTGTGGCGATGTAAGTGCGGCTCTCGTTCTGGCCTTAGCAGTGGCCAGACCTGATCATGGAGTCCATGTGGCCACTCTCCCAGCCCCATCACCAGTTGCCCTGTGTGAGTGAGGGACTGGGCCTGACTCGGTGGGATGGGGTGCAGCAGGTTCTGAGCCTGGTTTTGGTTGCAGACCAACATGATCCCTGGCTCTCCGGGCAGCACAGAGCTTGACGGTTTCAGTAGGCAACGCAGGCGGAAGCTGTCATTCCACAGGCGTATAGACAAGGGTGAGGCAAGGAGAGGGAGTACTGCTGGGCCCCATGGCATCCCTGCCTCCTCTTGTGTTCCCCTCCCCTCACCCTGTCCTTAGGAGTCTACCTCAGAGTCACCTCCTCTGGCAAGGGCAGTGCCTGGGTCTCTTTGGTCTTCACAGGGCTGGGTTCTGTGGGTGCTGCCGACAAGGAAGGGCAAGAGAGTTGGTGGTGGGGGCAGAGGACCCATGAGTCTGAGGGTGGAGAAGAGCCCCCCATTTGATCAGTCTGCTTGAGTGTGGTTTGGAGAAAGTACAGGAGACAACTGGGGACAGACCAAGCTAGCTCTTACCTCTTCCACCACGTCTCTCGCTCAGAGGCCTTCTCTGTTCTGTTTTTCACAGACATGGAGCAGCCAGGGGAGGTGTCGGCCTTGGGACCAGGCTGCACCGGGGCAGGGTCAAGTAGCCGGCACCAGCCAGGGGGACTGTGGGGGGAGAGCCCATCCAGTGGCCCCTCCAGCCCTGAGAACAGTGACGATGAGGGTCCAGGCCAAAATTCTAGCCCACTGCGCCTGGTCCCCTTCTCCAATCCCAGGCCCCCTGGTGAGCTGCCAGGTGGGGAGCCACTGACTGAGGACTGTGAGAAGCGCAGTGACACTTGTAACCCCCTGTCAGGTATGGTCCAGGCCAGACTGGGCAGGAACCAGAGTGGGCAGTGTGTCGGGTAGGGATCGATCTAGCCTCATCTCAACTCTCTGGCTCCAGGTGCTTTCTCAGGAGTGTCCAACATTTTCAGCTTCTGGGGGGACAGCCGGGGCCGTCAGTACCAGGAGCTGCCTCGTTGCCCTGCCACCACCCCCAGCCTCCTCAATATCCCCCTTTCCAGTCCTGGCCGCCGGCCTCGAGGGGACATAGAGAGCAGGCTGGATGCTCTTCAGAGGCAGCTCAACAGGTGAGGCCAGGGTGGCCGCTCAGCCTGGCGCTGTGTGTGTGGGTGTGCACAAGGGGCTGAAGCAGGACTCACGTGTGATCTTGGGTGTGGGTTGCGGGTGGTAGTTTAGTTTACAGGGAAGAGCGTTTACTCTGTTTGGTCATATTTATGTGGCGGGCAGCTAGGCCCTCTCCTTCCACCAGAGCTGATCCAGAGCAGCAGCAGCCACTCCAGAAGCTGAGGATACCCAGGATGACCAGTCGGCTCCTCAGGAGAGTGATTCCTGAATCACAGTGAACAATGTTTCCTCTTCCCTGGAGACCCACCTAGCCAACATGTCTGCCCACCCTGTTCCTTCCTCCTCTCAGACTAGAGACCCGGCTGAGTTCAGATATGGCCACTGTGCTGCAGCTGTTACAGAGGCAGATGACACTGGTTCCACCCGCCTACAGTGCTGTGACCTCCCCAGGACCTGGCCCCACCTCCACCTCCCCTCTGCTGCCTGTCAGCCCCATGCCCATCCTCGCCCTGGACTCGCTCTCTCAGGTACGAACCAAGGCCCCAGCCCTGCCTTTTCTGGCCTGATCTGCCCTTTGCCGGGCTCCTCTCTCTGCTGTCCCCACCCTCCAACAGCTTTTGTGCCAGTGGGCACCAGCCATGGGAAAAGAGGCCTCAGTGGTATGTGCTGCCGCGCAGTCTGAAATACCAGCTCTACTCGTGCCTGCTGAGTGGGCCACGTGTGGTCTCAGGACCATGGTCTCCCAGAGAGAACATGCTGGAGCCTGAGACGTGGTATGCAGAGGGGACACTACCTGCTGGTGTGACTCCAGGACTTGTTGTGGTCTGCACCCCCTACCCCGACTCCAAGTGGACCCTGGACCTCAGTCAGCACTGGTCATTCCACAGGCTTTGTTCCCTGGTTGTTGAGGCCAAGCTCAGAAAGAGGCTTCCTGGGCCTTCATGTCTGCCGTCCTCCTGGACAAGGGGCCTCTGCTGCCCTTTGCTTCCTGTCTGGGACACCTCTGAGTGGTTCTTTAGGGCCCCTGAGAGGAGGTTCCTCTAGCTGCCTGCTCAGCCTTGATCTGCTCCCTCCTTCTCTCCCTCTCGGCCTCCTCTGGCATCCGCTCCCCTCCCATATGCTGCCTGCTCCTGTTTTCAGACACCAGGGCCCACGTCAGCGAATGTGCCAGTCTCCCCTCACAGCCTCCCCCGCCAAGATCACACCAGCGTACTCACAGCACACAGACCCTCTGTCTGTGTCTCAGCTTGGCCTCTGCAGCCCTGGCCCAGCCTGTCTGTTTATTGGTCCCTAAGTTCTTTCTCAACTGAAGGAAGGAACTTGTCTCTTTTGCTGCTCCAGCTTGTAGGGTTTCTTTATCCTGGGCTGGAGTTGGATTCAGCTTTGCTTCCTGGTGGTGATGTAGGATAAGCACTGGATTACTGGTTGGTGGTTTAAACCCACCAGCAGTTCCACGGGAGAAAGATGAGGCTGTCTGCTCCCGTAACCTTATATTGGGTCACTATGAGTCAGAATTGACTCTATGGCAGTGAGTTTGGTTTGGGTTTTATGTTCCCCAGGGAAGGAAGAGGTTATGGCCTGAAATGTGTCCTGAGTCCTGGGCTGTATCAGCTTGGAATGCTCTTCTACTCCCCTGTTTTGCTCTTGTGCCCTGAGAACTAATTTCTCTCTTCGAACCTCAACACCTCCTTTGGTGGTCCCAGGCTGTCTGCCTTTAACCATCTCTGTCCCAGATTTAAGTCCTCCTTTCTGTCCACCCATTCCTTCTGTCCCCGTCTCATCCTTCCATGGTTCCTTGCCCACTAACATTCAGTGTTCTTTGCAGGTTTCCCAGTTCATGGCTTGTGAGGAGCTCCCCTCAGGGGCCCCAGAGCTCCTCCAAGACGGCCCTACCCGACGCCTCTCCCTGCCAGGCCAGCTGGGGGCACTCACCTCCCAGCCCCTGCACAGACACGGCTCAGACCCAGGCAGTTAGTGAGGCTGCCCTTGGTGGACACATAGCTCACCCAGGCTCAGAGAATGGCTTGGGCCCCTCCTTTCTAATGCCCAGAAGGTCATGGTCATGGATAGCTCAGCTCCTTCCCAGCCCTAGGACCATCTCCTCTTGCAGTCTCCTGGGCCCCAGTGGGAGGAGCAGGGGCAAGGCCGGGCAGTGAAGGGGGGCCTGTGGTCCCACCCTGCCCTGGGGGCATTAGCTGGTCTAACTGCCCGGAGGTACCCGGCCTGGGCCTTAGGCACCTCAAGGACTTTTCTGCTATTTACTGCTCTTATTGTTAAGGATCATAATTAAGGATCATATGAATAATTAATGAATTTGCTGATGACTATGAATAATAAATAATTATCCCGAGGAGACTCCATTGGTGCTGGGAGGGTACACCTCTCACCAAGATGGGGCTGAGTGTCTGCATTCAGGACATACTGTGTGTGTGTGCGCCCAACTGGCCCACAGAGATCCAGTGCATAGGGCCTGGGCTCAGGGGAGTAAGAGCCACTTGGGACTGTTTGGAGGTTACAAAGTGGTCCTAAGGGGATGCAAGACCCAGAGTCCAGCCCTCCAGGATCATGGAGATTTTCTGGGCAGCACTCTAATAATACGATAAGCATTGGACTGTGAGCAGCAGCCATAGGATAAGCATTGGACTGAAAACTACAAGGTTGGCAAATCAAGCAAGCACCCCACCTGCTTCAGAGAAGATGAGGTTTTCTGTTCCTGCAAAGATTTGAAGCCTCAGACACCCTATATCGGGTTGCTGTGAGTCGGAACTGACTCGATTGCACTCAACAACAACAATGCTGTTTCGACACTGATTACAAGTGTGGACCATACTCTTGTCCCTTACCCAATGTAGAACCCCACCCTGCACTGGCCAGGAAGTCCTGACCCACACTGTTCCTTTCAATCTTGGACTCATCTTGACCTTTGCCCAGATACATTCTGACCCTAGCTGGTTGGGTCTCCATATGGACCCACCCACCTTTGGGCACACTGTGACCACAGCTCATTGGGTGCCTGACTGCAGCTGGACTTCACTGACCTTGATTACAAAAAAGTCTGGACTAAAGAAGGTGAACATTTCCCTTACTAGAGACAAACATCTAAACAGATGTCCTGGGGGCAGTATGTAGTGTGTATAGTGTGTGTTGTCTGTGATATGAGTGTGTTTGTGGTATGGGTGGTATATATGTGCAGGTGTGTGATGTATATGTGGTGTGTGTGATGTGTCTGTGGTATATGTGTGTGTGGTGTGGCGTATTGTGTGGTGTATATGTATATGTGAGGTGTGTATGTGTGCTATATACATGCGTGTGGGTGATGTGTGTTTATGGCATATGTATATGCTGTGTGTTGTTTGTGTGCTGTATGATGTATATGTAGTGTGTGTTGTATATGTGTATATGGTGTGTGCAGTGCATACATGTGTGTGGTATAGGTGTATATGTGGTGTGTGTAGCACAATGTATGCGTGTATGATGTGTGTGATGTATATATGTATCTTAGGTATGCATGTGTGGTGCACACATTGTGTGATGTAACACGTGTGAGGCATGCATGTGGTAGGTGGTGTGTATATGGTGTAGATGTTTGACATACATGTGTGGCATGCACATACATGTAGTGGGTATATAAATGATGTATGTATGGCCACACATACATGTGTGTGCAGTGCTATGCATGTGTGTTGTGTGACCCATGCGTGCTGCATGCACATATGTGGGGGCGTGCATGGTGTGACACATGTGCGCCACCTGCAAATATGTGACATATATGTATGTGTGGTGTGACACACGTGTACTGCACATGCATGTGTGATATATGTATGCGTGCTGTGATGTATACGTGTGTGAGGTGTGTGTGTAGTATGTATGTGTGTGGTGTGTATATGTGTGTGTGTGTGTGATCCTGTGAGGACACAGAGCTCCTGGGAGGAGTGGTGGGTGTAGTGGCCACTCAAGCATCAGCTGATGCCCATCACAAGGAGCCAGTGGACCACTGTAGGCTGGGGACAGGTTGGTTTGTAAATGAGGGTATGATCTAAAGGCTTCCAGAGCCCTCAGAGCTGTTTCTTACCCAACTCTCCCAATTACTCTCAGGTAAGTTTTTGGTAACCATGCTTCAAAGACAAATGTGACTGTTTCCACAGGTCATCCTGGGGTAGGGTGGGTATTGGAAGTAGAGACCTTGGTCCCTCGAGGGTTCGTTTCTGCAACCCAGAGCAGGTAGAAGAAAAGGGGGCATCTTTGCCCGCTGTTCAGATGGTTCAGCTCCAGGACTCAGAGCCATCACCCCGAGGCTGTGAGCCTGGAGGTGCTTGTGTGCCCTGAGGAGCAGGGGAGAGTCGGGGTAGAGGAAGCCACAGAAGGGCTAGCAGAAGAACAGCTTTGTGTGAGGGGCTACTTGGTGACTGATGGCTGAGGGCTCACACCCAGGTGTCCCGGCAGTTGATGGGGGTAGGTCAGGCAGGCGGTTGTCATGGACTGTGGATAGGCAGGAGCACAGGGGGCTGACAGACATGTGGGTACAGCCAAAGTTCAGGCTCACCTTGCACCTTGGGGATTTGTGAGCATGGTCAAGTCCTCACTCTCTGGTCCTGTCTCTATCCTTGTTATGTCTGTACTCAGAATGTCTTCAACCAGCGAACAACCCCAATTCACACCATGTGGTCTCAAGGTGCAGGGCTGGGATGTCCAAGCCAGACTAGGTGGGTTGTTGAGGGAAAGGGTGTATGGAAGGTGGGGTAAGGGCCGAACGAGTAAGCAAGAGCTGAGTGTTGGTCAGGACAGGGGAGGGGAGAGAAAGACCTTTGCCCTAACTCTTTAGGCTATGAAGCTGGTGAGCTTTTTGGGTACCATACCAAAAATTATAAATCTACCTGCCACCAGGTGAGGGCATTGTCCAGACTGTGGAGGTCTGGCATGGGCTTTGTATTTTCCAGGGAAGGAATGTGGGTGTGTGGTGCATGCAGATGTGAATTACATAGTAAAGAATGTATGCATGGGTTTACTTGTGCTAACTAATTTGTAGTGAATAATTTCATAAAGTTGTTTTGGAAAACATATGAAACTGTTCAGATTATTAAGTAAACACAAGTAAGCCCATGCTTACTTTGTTTATTGGATACTCTATCCATTAGGGTTTGTAAATTGAAGAGGCTTTGAATTTGTGGAAAGGTGTCGTGGGGCTGGGAGAGAGACAGACGCTAGTTATACCTAGAAACAAAATCTTTGATGTGGTGAAAAAGTGTGAAATTGTTCACTACAGATAAGTAAGTAAGTACAGACTTAGTTGGCTGATTGGGTAATCTGTCACTGTGTGTGTGTGTGTATTGTATGTATAAATGTGTGAGTTTATGTGGTATGTTGTATGTATAGTGTAGTAAGTGTATTTTATGTTGTGTGTAGTATATTTGTTTTTGTGTGCATGCTTTTACATGGGTGTGTGCTCAGGTGTGTGACCAGGTACAAGGGGACCTCTACATTTTTGCCCTCATTTGGAAGCCCTGAAAACACTTAGGTGTCCCAAACATTCATCTGTTTGATCTGGATGGAGGAGCTGCCAGGGGGCTTAGATATCCTGTGTCAGGGTACACCTGCTGAGGGGACTGCACTTCCTAGGTAGTTTACATGCCAGCTGGAGCTATGTGCTCTGCACACTGTGTTGTTGAATCTCTATAACACCCCAGAGAGGTAGGCATTCTGATGCCACTTGAGAGTAAGGCTCAGTCACTGTCCAGCAGTCATATGGTTCGTAGGTGCAAGGTCTGTTTGACTCTAAAGTCAGTGTAGGGACTTAGGGACACAAATCTGGGTTGGATTCAGACCTGGGACTTGAGACTTGAGCGACAGGCAGGCAGGGATGCTGTGGGTGTAGAGTGCAGCTCAGTTAGGGAGCACACATGGAAACTCTCTCTGACTCCCATTTCTAGTCTGCATTGAGCCCTTCCCTCACCTGGTGGGTGACAATGCATTCCTCTGCCAGCCTGCCAGTAATGAGTAGCGTAAATAAGAGCTGTACCTGGGACCCTGGAGTAATCCACTGGGCTGGTGAAGATCAAGTTTTAGTCAGGGTCTGTCAGAGCAGAAGACTGCTAAGACCTCCCATAGAGGGCCCCAGTCCCAGGTGGCTGCCTTCTGGATTCTTGCTGCATCCCTGGGACCTGGGGTCCTTAGTGGGTTGAGGAAGAGCAGGTGAAACACCAACTCTTGTGACCCTACAGTCCCAGTGGGTAGTTGGGAGCATGGGCTTCAAATCAGGTAATTTCCCCTGTTCACCTGGCACCGCCACACATTTAAAAGGCGAGCCTGGGAGACTGGGTAGGTCAGTAGTAGCATCTTGCACCTCAGGATGAGAGAGAAGACAGTGTGTCGGGAGCCACTCTGCAGCCACTCTGCCTCCTAGAGAAGTCTTCAGATTCCAGTTGCCAGAAGCAAATCTCTAGAACATTTGTTCCAAGAAGAGAGGGATTTTTATCTTATTCTGCAGGACTTTAGAACAATGCCTGGCACTAGTATGTACTCACTGAACGATTTTTGAATGAACAGATGAATGAAAGCACTGCCCTCCCTAGGACAGAGACCCTTGGATTAGACCAGACAGGGGCTGGTCACAGAAGTGAGGCTGGAGAAGACCCCACCCACAGGTGACAGGAGTAGAAGAGGCTGTCTTCCCAGGCTACACCTTGGTCTTCCAGTCCCCTTATGTCCTCCTTGCCTATCTTCAGGTCTACTCTACACTGTACTACACCTGCTTCACTCCCACTCCCACCCCCACCCCGGCTTTCAGAGGTACAAGGAACTTTGATGGGGATAGTGGTGTAGGGTGAGTCATGGGGTGCAATCTCCTCCTTTCATGCAGGAGCTGGGCATTCAGCTGTTGGGGGCCCTGAGACAGAGGCTGACCCAGCCTGGCGCTGTCATCTACCAGAGGGTGGGGGGTGGATCTGGAGAAGACTGTGGTGGGAGAGGAGAGAGGACTAGGTGGTTGCCAAGCCTGAGGAAGACCTGGATCAGAGCCTGCCGACTAAGCAGTCAGGGGCGGACTTTGGACCCAAGGAGCCAGGCTGTGTGCCCTCACTCTACCCAACCCATATATCGGAAGTCTAGGGTGGGGGGCAGAGTGAGATCCCTGTACTTCAAACAGGCTGCTCCTGGCTATATGGAAGTCTTGTGAGACACTGGCACCGCCCAGTGGTCAGGGTTCTTGTTCCTGTTCAGCCCAGTGTTGGAAGTTCCCACTTCTCCCAGACAATAAGAATGGCTGACATTCACTGAGCATATTCTGAAATTGACTCAAGAGGCTAAAGTCACTTGCCAATGTTGTAGAGCAATATCATGGCATCTGCTTAAAGTAAAAGCAACC